ATCACAAGGAGGCATTTACTGGCTGTGGTAGCGAAGAGAAAGACAACAAACTAGGCATCCACAATACGTACCAATAAATCATTTTAAAACTTTTCTTACCAGAACGTTTTTTATCATTTTATATTTGTTTGTTACAGTCATGCTAACCTTGTTACGCGCTTAAAGACCTTCGTCATTGAGATGCAGTAGCATATAACATTAGAATAACTTACTCTGGGTGTGAGCCATCTGGAACAGCGGCAGCAGCAACAGCACTACCAAGGCACCAAAGCTGCATCCTCTTTGTATGTGTACCATACTCTGTATTGGAGTAAATAGAAAAAATAAGACTGAGGGTAAACTGTAGGGAAAAAGAATGTCTTTTTAACAAGCACTGATGATATATGTATTAATAATAGCACCTTTGCTTTAGCCGTGAGTATTTGGTTCCTATACAACGCTCTGTTAACAAGTTCAAAGGTGTTGCTGCAGTTAAGCTCGTTTGCAATTAGTTAACGTGGCAACCATACAAAAACATTAACTGTACAAGTAACTTTACTAATGATTTGGAAGTGTGGTTCAGTCAAGGCAAATATCCTACAGTGACTACAGCGAGTTGTAGGGTCCAAAGTTTATGTATTGTAAATTAATAAAGATATGTCTATTCTCTTATAATGGAAACATTTGGATACACCCCATTTCATCTCCAACCCGGTTCGTCACCAAAAAACCCGTTTCGTCATAAAAAAACAAACATTGTCACCAATATCAAATCCGTTTCGTCACTATTAACGGTCTGGTGATGAAACAGTCGCTGGTATTATTGACAAATTGTGCGTTATTATTTTGTACGAATAGAAATTACACATGTTTACATACGATTCGAGAATGATTGTTATTATTTTACATGAATATTAATTATTTAATAAAGAAAATAATAAATAAGTTGATTATAATGGTAAATAAACAAAATACAGAACAAATGAAGGTGTTTTCTTCTTCATTACCACCTTCAGCGCGGGTTGCACTCAGACTGTCGCGTGATTTCTGTAAACAACGGGCAATTATCAGGCAAACCACTCGATGGAAACGATTGGCGGTTAATTAACATATTCTCTTTGCTATTTTGATTTCATCGTCTCTCTTTGCTTTCCTTACATTTTTCTTAACATTCCTAGATAGTTCATTATACCTATTTCTGAGCGGCTCCTCCCCTCCCTTTAATTTCTTATATATTCCTTTCTTTATTCCTATGTCATGTTTAAGTTTTCTGGTCATCCACCTTGGCTCATTCTTATTTGACCTAATTTTTCTGTATGGTATATTTTGTTCTTGTGCTTTATGTAGTATACTAGTGAATATATTATAGTCATGATCAATTGTTGTGTCATCTATGACCTCACCCCTTCCTACTGGGGACTGACGTCACTGTTCCCAGGTGACCTCAACTAGGTACCTTCTTAACCCCTGATAATCCGCCAACCGAAAGTTTGGGACTCTGACCATATTGTCATTGTTTTTCGTTTCCCAATTTAGGGTGAAACTGATTTTTCTGTGATCACTGTAAGGAGTTACAGGAGTCATGCAGGATGAATATGAAGGACTGTATACTGTATATATTTTGTTTTCACAAAGAGATTGAAGACCCTTGGAACGTGTATCAGCTCGGGCTGTGCAAGCGAGAACAATACTGGACTTCAAAATAACTCTGGGCAATACTATGGGGAGGATACTACACAGGCCACTTGTCTCTTAGGTAGTTAAATCTGGTCAATCATTGCGTTCGAGAAAAGTCAGTTCGTAACATCCATGAGGACCCTAGAATCACACTTAGGTCTTATTGCAACTATATCTTGCGCTAGTCAGGCCGCACCTCGATTATGCGGTTCAGTTCTGGTGCCCCTATTAGAGTCGGTGCAGCGAAGAATGACAAAAATGATTCCGGGACTTAGAAACCTTCCATATTAGGATAGGTTAAAGAAACTTAACTTGCATCCCCTAGAAAGACGAAGAGTGCGGGGAGGTATGATAGAAGTATTTAAGTGGGTGAAAGGAATCAATAAAGGGGATATAGATAAAGTTCTTATAATATCCGAGCAGGATAGGACTCGGAGCAACGGATTCAAGTTGGATAAGTTTAGGTTTAGAAGGGAGATAGGAAGAAACTGGTTCACAAATAGGGTGGTGGACGAGTGGAACAAGCTTAGCAACTTTGTAGTAAGTGCGGGAACTCTGGAAAGTTTCAAAAGGAGGCTAGATAGATTCATGGATGATAGAGAGTGGTAGTAACTCTCGACAGGAGCTGCCATGCACAGGCCAACCGGCCTATTGCAGACTCCTTATTTTCTTGTTCTTAGGTAAACAATATAATTATATAGTATATCACTAAAAATAGCATTGCTGCATGATACAATGTCTTTACATACCCTTTTCACCATAAATGTAGAATGCATTTGATAATTGATTGTAGACTGATCCACCTAACACTCGTAAGGATTTTCACAATGTCTTCAGCTCACTGTTAATGTCTTCAACCAACAACCTTCCAACGCAGCAGCTCAACGTTCACTGAGGCAGGAATCGGGGCGCATGGGTGTTTTGTATGAACCAATGAAGAGCTTTTCTAGGCATTTGTTGTGTTATAGGGCAGATTTAATATTCGTCGTTATGGTATCATTGTAGAAAAGTGAATGATTTTTAGCCGTATTGTAAAAGAAGAAATAAAAAACAGTGAGATACAATTATGGTACAGCGCCATATAAATATACTGTAAATGGCAACCGTTTGACCTTTGGAGCGATTGTCCGACTTTTTCTACTTTAAGGAACTTTTCCTAGTTTAAGCTGTACAACTGGGACGTCAATGTTAACCAGGTGTATGATTATAATAATAATAATAATAATAATAATAATAATAATAATAATAATAATAATAATAATAATAATAATAATCGAGAACTTCTTAACATGGGGAAGAGTTCAATTATTTCAATCTTGTTGTAAAGGATTAAAGGGACAAAATGAGCAAAATCTCTGCCTGGCTAAATTATTTTTTAATCATTAATTTTTTTACATATAGTCTTGATTTTTTAATTATCATTGTTAGGATATTATCAAATTAATCTTACCTGTCTTTTCATTCATTTCATATTGTTACCGCCACAGTAAGATAAGCTAGAAGAGAGAGAAAGAGAGGGATAACCATAATAAGATAAACTAGGCGAGAGAGAGAGAGAGAGAGAGGAGATGAGATAAGAGATATAGTGTTGACAACGAATTTGCTGACCAATCTGCTGAGGTGTTTCAATACGAAAACATATGGCCCTCGCCTCCGGGCTGAGATTGCCCTCGAGGGCAGTCTACTGATTTCTACAGGACAGACAACACGTTGGTTCAGACCACTAGACCCTAAAACGTGAGTGATCGTGAAGTATTAGAATCTGCTAAGAAACTCTAAATAACTTTAATAAGTATATTTGTGTACTGCAATTTGATCATATTATACCAATTGTCTCCTGTATCAATAGTTATAACTTGCGAGTTATATTTAAGATGTTAACAGGCTATGTACTGTATATTGATTGTATTTCATAATATGTGTCCTGAGATAACAGCATTTGTTATATGAGAAATGTTCTTTAACAGGTTTTGACCGAATTATATGGTACGCGTCAACGTTGAGGGTTTATTTCTCCAGCAACAAACCAATAACGCTCCTATGAGCGTTAACACATATATTTTTTATTGTGTTTCCACTACTGCTGAAGGTAACTATCGGTTACAAATATGTTCTGGACATTTATTATTGCGTCATACAGAGTATAACCTGCCATATGAATCGAGGTTTAGTGGTGAGTGTATGTGTGTGGAGGAACGTGAGTAATACTTGAGGGTGGAGAAATTTGTGTAGTAGTATGTGAGAGTGGAGAAACTTATGTGAAACTTCTACATTATGATGGTATAAAGTTTAGGCAAGTAAACGATCGAAGTTGTACAAAAAGGTAAGATTGACTGGGAGTGAATACACTGGTTGATTATAAGTTATTGATAAATTTTACAATAGTTGGGACTGTTCCTATTGCGATCAATACATGATCGTATGGGCCGGATGCGGTTGTGGTGTCGTACAACAATTCTCGGACGAGGGATCTTGGGTGGTAGTAGGAGCCGGTGTCGAGGATGGTACAGAATTTTCTCACCAAATTTGCAGATGAGGTCGTGGTGATGGTCAGAGAGAGCCGAGAGGGTCAGTATGTTGAGAGCTTCTTGGTATGTGGAGTAGGAAGGGGAGAGAATAATCTTGCATGCCCTCTTTTGCACTTTTTCTAGGTGTTTACGTTGTGTGGCATTTAGGGAGGAAGACCAGGTAGGGGAGGCATAGGTGAGCTTGGGAAGTATGAATGTTGTGTAAACACTGAGGAGCTCGGGTGCAGGAACTCCAAGGGACTTGAGTCGGCGGAGGAGGTGGAGACGGAAACTGGAGGATTTGACAACTTCACTGACGTGTGGTTTCCAATTTAGTTTGTTGTCTATGGTGACGCCGAGGAGTTACGTGGAATCTACAACCTGGAGTGTGTTCGGACCTAAAGTAATGGAAGGAGGTGGGACAATGTCGGGGGAGAGGTTGATGTGCATAACCATGGTCTTGGTATGGTTGATGGTGACACGATTGTTGGTGGCCCAGAACAAACTGTGTGTGTTCTAGTAGTGTACTGTGTATGCTGGAGGACTATGTGTGTTGGAGTAGTGTTGAAGTACAGTATCATGCATGCAGCTCCCGATTGTTTTCTAATCGAAGTTATAACAAGTTATCTTGCCATTTTATCAGTATTGTTGTGTCATTCAGGTTTGTCAAGGAACCTTGTTCACCAGAAAATCATATTTATTTTTTTTTATAATAGCAGCTCCTTGATGACCCTCCCTCACCAGTAGTACTGTACTTATATTAAGTGTTAACCTGTTCACATTCTATGCATATATTTCACTATAACTTTTATTATAAATCTGTGAAATAAAACACAATTAAAATTATAAAAAATCTTATTTTTAGAGTTAAGGAATTAATAATATATAAATACCCTATGCACACTGGATTGCAGGAAAGTGCTTTTGAGCTGCAAAAAAAAAAAAATACAATTTCTCTTAGCTATAATTCTATAACAACGTCTTAATAAAAATGAACAAGTTTGAACCTTGGTTGAATAATTACTCGTCTTTTATGAAAAATTAGAATACACAAACATCCCATATTATTATTAAGCAAGTCATTACCACAGCAGAAAACACTACCATACAGGTAATTATTTCCTTGTTATAAAAACTCCATAAAAACCCCATCAAGTTTCTTTATCTTCATTTTGTATCATTGTATTAAGAAACTTTAGGAGACAGTTGGCCGTGTTCAAGTCACTGTGTACTTTTGTAATTGTTTCTTTTGGCGAAGGATGCTCACTATGTTATAACACCACAATTCATAGCTAACTTTAATACTTTAATTCCTTATGGCCTCAATTTCTCTTCAATCCAGTTCCTGTAATGAGTGACGTAGGTGTAGACGCCAGGTACACTCTGTTGACCACAGTTCGATGGGCCGTAAGACACGACACCAATTTGGAGGTATGGAGGACCTCTCGGCCCCGGCAATATCAATGGTCCGCCAGAGTCGCCCCCGCATGAGTCCTGTCCTGCCCGACCTCCTACACAAATCTAAAAAGCAAAGTAAGTTATACCATAAAGTAACACTCTGGGAGGTACAGATAACAGTGTGGATCAATATACTGTTTGATAAGTTACCAATATTCAAGTTATGTTTACAAACTTCAGCATGTATAAGAGGTCAGTGGATGACACTTAACATATTAGCTGTAAGTCGTGAGTTGGTAGAAAGACACGAGAGGGTGGGGAGTTTCTTAGACAAGTGTGAAGAATGAAAGATGTGAGCAACAATAAAGTTCAAATAACTAGAAATTGTGGGGTGTATAAGTGTCTTGATAAACAACATGTAACAACATTACATGCATGAGTTGTTATCTCACTATGTATAATTTACACTCATTCCTTAATGATGCTTTCACAGGGAAGCTTCTTATATTGTACACCATATTAACTACATGGAATCATTAATGATAATATTATCTATTATGTTTAGATTAATAAACACACAATTACTTACTTGTTCATTAACTATATCTCCCCTGTGGGTGGCATTGCACTGTGAACGATCTACAAAGGGTAATTCAACATGTAGCAGCCTATTACTTGTAGTTCCGAGTTCAGTGATGCCCCACCCTGCTGCTATAGGCACATTGTTAGATCGGTTTGCCACGTCAATATTTTGAGGAGGCAGACAAACCGCTTTAACCCAAACTGGAGGAACAAATCAAGGAAAATACATTATTATCGTAGCCTGCAAGTGATTAAGGTTTGTAAATATTAATTTGCTTTATGTAAAAACTTTATAATAAGGTGTTTTCCTTCTCATCCTAAGACATTTGTAGGAAAAATTCTTAAACAAATATCGTAGTAAGTAAAGACAGCCGAAGCTATATTTACCTAAGAAATAATATATTTTGTTATTTTTAAACATACCCAAGATTTAGTTTGAAAACAAAATGAGGTTCCTCACATTAAATAGATTTTTTTCTAATAATTTGCCAGATTCAACTGGATTTCTATAAAATCCTTAAATCCATTAGTGATTTTTAAGACGACACCAACTTCCGTTCACTTACATCCACTAATATCAATGGGGCTGCTGACTCGGATAAGGGCGATGTCATCAGAAAACTTTACTCTTGTATTATAGTTTGGGTGAGGAATGATCTCTTCTACAGTAAAATCTTGAACTGGGGCAGCGCAAATAGCAGTTTTATTATTATCTGGTTGGAAACAGTCTAGGTCGGTGGTCAAGTCCCATTCTCCAAGTCGGACGACTTCTCTGTAATAAATATTAGCAAGATATTGGTGCTGCAGTTAAAGTGTGCTGACTTGTAATCTAAGATTCCATTCAGATTTAATAGAATTTAGTGTTTGGTCAATTTGACATCACACTGAATAAATTTTCTAATAAACCTTTATGTCATTTAAATTTATTAAATAGTATATTTATACATGTTATTCATACAAATTATTAAAAAAAGTTACAAATATTTTTACTCATATTTTATATTTCATCGTAATTAGAAATGTATATATTCCTACACCAATAAATTATACAAATATGCACATATGGAAGTATTGACTCTCTTGTAGCTTCAGTCTCCTATTCTTTATTACTCAACCAACTACCATACTTACAGCTTCTTGTTTCCTAATACAGACTCCAGTACGCAGTGAGCAGCTGTTAATATGTATCTTTCGTTGATCACTGACCCACCACACAGGAACTCTGTTGTTGAGGATCCCACGGCTGAAAGTTCGAGAATTTCATATATATATATATATATATATATATATATATATATATATATATATATATATATATATATATATATATATATATATATGTATATATATATATACAGTCAACCCTGACTTTACGCGGTTAATTCAACCCGGAGGGTACCGCGGAAAGTGAGAAAAGCATAAAGTAAACAACATAACATATGGGATTAATTGAAATAGAGTCCGGGCCGATCCCCAAACTCCACTTTTTGACGACACACAACTATGTTGTAGTAAAAATATTATCTTAACTTTATGATGGTATGCACACACAATTAATAAATAAGAGAAATATCAATAATATTAGGTTTTTTAACACTTACATTAGTAGAAAAGATGGCTGGGCACACGGGGATGGGGGGTTGGTTCCGAGGCAGAGGGCAGATTATTGGCCCTCACCTGTATCACTTGTATCAATTGTATCACTATCCACCACAGAGACTTGCAGGGCCTCTTTGTCAAACCCCTCAAAGTCCATATAAGTCCATATCCTCACTATAATTATCACTATCACTGACTTGGGCCAGCTGTGGTGGGTGGCGGGTGAAGAACTCGGTAATGTTTTGATGACTGGGCGACCTTGTGGGCACCATGCTCGCGCCGCTTACACAACATGGCGGATAGCGGGAGAGGGCGGGAGAGATGGCAGGAGGTTTGGATCCAAAAATGGCACGGTTCTCCAGCTGCTCTCCACGTAAAGGGGTACACGCACCGCGGAATGTGAGCATTCCTGTTTTGGCAGGGTACCGTGTAAACGTGTAAACGCGGAATGTGGGATCGTGTAAAGCGAGGGTTGACTGTGGTATATATATATATATATATATATATATATATATATATATATATATATATATATATATATATATATATATATATATATATATATATATATATATATATATGGATGAAGTAGAAATGTAATAGTCAGGGTTTTTCATTAGTTGAAAATCATGCTTTAAAGGGGATAAGTCTTCGCTGCTTGGAAAATTTAATAAGGTATAATAAAAAGTTTCAAAGTCTGGCAGTAGACGGAAAAAAGTAAGCCTCAAAATAACCCATTGCAATAATTATATATTTGGCGTCAAAACATGATACTGACTGTTTCTGTTCTTTTGTTTCACCTTAACACAACTCATGATGTATTGCTTCCCTCCCTTAATATATTTATGTATATCAACACCACTGTATAATATGTATATACCTATAATACAAATAAATAAATAAAAGAATAAATAACAAAGTGATATTCGTGGTAACATTCTGATATAGTGTACAATTCTGGATGATTCTAAATGTAACAATACTTCCTTGAGATAAATGTTCACTAGGCCTATATATCAGGTGCCATTAAGAGAGCTCAGCGATGTCAATAGTGTTATTTTTATCGACTCTGTATCTGGTTTTTTTTGGGTAAATTAACTGTTTCAATATAAATATCCTCAGACTATGTATTCACAGTAACACAATTATGCGCCGGCACAGTTGCTTGTCGAGTACTTTATAGTCTACGTAGAGACGGGGAAAAGAGGCTTTTAAGAGTAGAAACTGTAGTAAAATCTACAGAATAGAGAAAGGGAACTAACATTGCAGCAAACGGGGAGTGGTTTAAGCTTAGAAGTTAGAAGGAACGAGTTAAGTAGGTCGGTGAAGGTAGAGCCTCACTGCATATGGGAACATTACTCGTATACTACACACAGGAACGAGTCACTTCTATGTGTATTTGATGTAATTCCTTAGAAAAGAAGAATCTTCAAAGTGTGTAACAAAATTTCCCTCTATTTTGTCATATTTAGCTTTTGACATAATTTATGTCGGCAGAGATTATATTAATACAAAGCATAATTTATTGTTAGAGGCAGAATTACCAGGTTCTGGAAAGAGGTACTGATAGCAACCAAGTTCTGCCAATTGAGAACTAGAAATGTATATTAAATTAATTGATAGAAAACGAAACTAGAATAACATCTAGTAGGGGAATATTAGTGTGTTCTAAAACTTAAGTTATTCTCAGCTTAGATTTAAACAAATTATATATTTAAAACAAAATTAACAGTCTACACCAGTGCGAAAAAATGAAGTCTTGGTGTAAAAACCCTGTAGTACAAGAACCCTGCATGTAAGAATCCTGCAGTGTAAGAACCCTGTAGTGCAAAAACCCCGTAATATATGAACCCTGTAGTGTATGAATCCTGCAGTGTGGAGCCCTGTAGTGTGTGAACCCTATAGTGTGAACACTGTACTGTAATGTGTGAACCCGGTAGTGTGGGAATCCTATAGAGCGAACAGTGTAGCATGTGAACCCTATAGTGGTAACCCTGCAGTGTAGTAACCCTGCAGTGTGGTAACCCTGTAATGTTGGAACTCTGTAGTGTGGCAACCCTGTACTACTAATTAATTTAACCAACGCCTATTTCATATCATAATTCATTAGACCATATGCGTTTATATAAATTTACATTTAATGGCTAAAAAATTTAACAATTGTGACGGTGAAAAGTAAATTAATCTAAATATTTTCTATTACTTTCATATCTTGTATCTTCAAATACCAGAAAGCAGTTTCTCCTCTTTTTCATTTCAGTAATTTAATATTCGGTCACTCACCTCTGTATCCTAATACAGCCATCCAAGGATGACTACCGAGGGGTACTTCTGTTCCACCAATAATCCTGGTCAATCCTTCGCTATCCCCACAGTTCCTGGGCAACAGGTTGGTATTTCGGGGACAACACACCTAGTACAGGATATAAAAGCATTATTTTGTAATATTCTCTACTGTCGGAAAATAAATGATTTTATTTGACTTCCAGATAACTTTTACAACTTTAATATGATTGAAAGGTATTTACCGTTGGCTCCCTGTTCCTGAAAGAGCAAGTGACTCGCTGCAGAGCGCCAATGTTCTCAGGAGTGGCGTTACTCAGTAGCCGCACCAGCTGTGGGCACTGTCGTAGTGGGATACATTCATGTTGGCAGGTCACTCCTGTTGACAAAGATATAATTCTGATTCAAGTAATCGATCTGAATAATTAATTATGGCCAAGATTGAACTGTTCGATAATTATCAGTTTAATACAAATATAAAAGAGAGAAGGAATGAACTTGCATGCCATGACGAAGGTTGGAGAGACTTAAGAGCTTTTTGTCCTGAGCAACACTACGTAGCCACCTACGCCTTTACATCCCCTATTCCATAACACTCTATCTCGACCATTCTTGTCGGATGACTATATAACC